ATAGTCGTACAGGTTCCTAGCGACTTTGGGTTACTAACACTATATCTTCGTTTTGACTACAAACATGACCAGTATTCTCAAATAACATAACATGCTTAGGTCGGTGAATATTGAGCTATGTAAAACATATCGGTGCTAAATATATTACTCTCAATTATCTGACAGATTCAAGTGAGAATTCGTCTTGTGCCACTATTGCTTTTTCTAAGCAACTTACGTTCCGTGTTATGAGTAGTAAGCGCTGAAGGAGGTACTTCGGACACTGCACTCAGGATGAAATGCCCGTTTCTTGATGAACTTCATACAGTCACGAAATGGGCACTTTACCGAATGGCGCAAAAGTGGTGATATTTTTTTCTACTTTAAACGCGAAACGATCATGGTGTCTTCCTATTTGTCGGCAAGAAGACAGTCAGGAAAAGGTGGTACTTGACAAGATTCAAATTAAGCGTCACCATTATGAAGCTGAGGTCGTTTTTAGTGCAGACGTTACAACTTAGAAATCTAGTTCATTTCTTTCGGAAGACCGTTAAGAACTAAAGTGATGATTTCCTACCAATTTTTGTGTGCGTAAAGAGGTCAGGGGTTGTCTTCAAATTGTATTCATTGAATAACAGAGATTTTAAAGTAAGAAGAAATAACAAAAAGACAAAGTCGAACTAAATGATTGACAAAAAAAAATAATACACAAATATTCAGGACTGGGAAATAGATACTCTAATAAAATTCCGATTCTAAAATTTGAAACAATAAATGCAATAATGTGTGCGTTTTATGAAATATAACGATAACTTTTTTTATTTTCTTGGGTTTACTATTTCAAAAATACTGAAACTAAATGCTGACCTACGCCTTATCCCGAAAAAAAGCTTTTCGATAATATCTACGCTAATAAAGCTAAAAACGAGTTGGTCCATATATTTGCAGCTTACATATGTAATAAATGAGAAGGCAACAAGATGCTATTATATCACTATGCTTTCTCCTAAACTATTTTCCCACTATGTAATAAAATATCGATTCTAAAACTGATTGTAGAACAAGTGAATCAAGTATGTAGTATTTCTATCTATATTTATTCTTAGCCGTCCTTCAGCTAGACGATGAATACGAGAATGTGCGTCAACAACATTTATACATAGATATAAATTAGCTGCAACCAAGCGAGATTACGCTTTAGCAGTCACGTTCTGCTCTCACATGTCATTCTTGCAGTTTAGTGATTCAGCCTGAAAAAATGAAATGTGTTCATTGTCAAAGCCCAGAGCCATGTTACTATTCACCAGAGTGGCTTCGATTGTCACCGAGAGATTAACAAAGTTACGGAATAGGACTGATTATGAATGTGCTATATGTACCGGTAGTAGTAAACATAATCTGTAAGAACTCCCAGAGTTGGCGCTAGTAGAAGCTGGAACAGGTTTCTATTTCCATCATCGGTACCAGCCATTTGGAGGCGCTCGAAATGACTCACGTATTTCCTCAATTTGCAGTGCTTTCTTTTGTGCTGCAAATATGAAGCGCGTTGATGAAGTTCACACCAAAGTAATACGTTTGCAGCCAATCATTGAAACGCTATAACTAGAATAACTTAACGAAGTCGACTCTATGTCGGCTATAGTGTAAACTTCTTTTTACTCTTCTTACCGCTGCTTGCCCTTAACCTTAATTTATCAATTTATTAATCAACTAAACTCTGTTCATATCTTGGCTAAGAACATATGACATAATACAATAATATCTAATCACAGAATATTGTGAATTATTATATAATAATAAGTACTCGGCAAGACTCTGTTTGACATTTATCTTGTTATACTGGCTGTGAAGAATTTTCATTCAAGGAATAGCCAATCTTGAGAAACGGATTGTGGAAACTGAGAAGATCTGTCGTTTTACAAATTACGTAGATACAGATGCATTGCGGTGTCCTTCATACATTATATGACTTTTTTTTCTATTTAAAGTGAAGTCATATCGAAAATATGTGTCATCTACCCACAATGCCTTTATTGATACCTAGCTTAATATAGAAGTAAAAGAAAAGCAAACATTCTCTGTAATGATTCTTACCCGGAATAGCAATAGCATATTAACGAGTAAGTGTCACACTTTTGGGTAAACGCAAAGCTAATTAATCAACATACTATGTTGAGGGAAAAATCCCGTATGAAATTTGTTGTGCCTGAAGCCCAACGTGCCTGAAGAATAACTGCTCATAAGAAAGCTATAAGAACACCAACTGTTTTTTTGTTCGACTTATTACCAGCAAGATAATTTCGTAAAAATTACATATAAAAATATATATACCATTTGCCACTTTTCCTACTATGATGGCAGTATATTGCCTGGCTTCCATTTAAGTCATCATAATGAAATTATTTGAATAAACATGACTACAAATGTTATTGCTGTGATATCCCCTCACACCTACCCTATTCAGATACACTGGCTTGCGTTGAAATAACCAAAAGCCTGCTTCATATGAGGAGGATACAATCGTTGCTTGAATTGAAACAGGTCATTAAAGATGAGTGTCGTTATGAAGACAGCGCATGTTCAGTGGTAATATTTGTTTACACTGTAGCTAATCATGTACCAAACAAAAAACGACAGCTAATTACTTGATTAGTCGCATGAGGAATATAGTAATCAGTACAAAAAAAAAGTGTATTGACTTAGTAACTTGACAAAATAATCAAGGTGAACACGTGGAGAAACATCGTAAGCCCAGGTTCAGATCGTGCTAAGCCACCTCAACCATTGCCTATACGAGTGTAAACTGCCGCAAAATAAAACAGGCATTGAATTGCGTCACATGAGGAAAACGGTGTTAGATCATATTTACATATCGAAAAACTTGATGAAAGGGGATATTAACGAATCCTAATGATACGAGATAAAAATTCTCAATAGAATTCAGTAGATTCCTCTACGTTCCCCTCGTATACTTACAATTATATCATCATCGTAATTTTCTGTTTTAACGATTATGATATATATGACACTTTTTATATGGCAGTAGGGTCATTTTGGTCTGGACTCATGAAACGATTACGTCTGCTGCTACATGAAACTATATATATATATGATATGTTAAGGTACCCTGATCGTATTGACTTATGGTTTTTGTGCTTTTGCTTAACATTCAGTACTTGACAGCATCATAACAGTAACATGATTGTTTCTGAGAATTTGAGATGATAGAAAATAGTGCTGAATAGAGCGGTATAGTCTTCTAAGCGGTGGTGTTTCGTAGAAACAACTACATTTAACCGGTTCTGCGGCCGTGTGATATCTGATTGCTTTATTTCGTATAACTGTAGATGTAAGTAATAATGATAATACCATCTAAAACGAGAATCAACTTCATCGCTTAGGCATTTTTTAATTACAACTGGTGCATTTGTAGTGGAAGTGTAACTCCTGGCCTAACTAGGTATTGTATACGAGTTATTGGAAACTATAGTACAAGACTATGGAAATCATTTAATGCCACCGGTTTCTTAATTAACAGTATGTGATATGCTTTCCTCCTAAGCAATAAATCCAGTATAGTAAAACTCATCATATTGCCCAAGAAGTGACGATCGATTTGAACTACGCTTGAAATTGAACCATATTTACGTGTCTTGAATTGCAAAAAGAACCCGGCTTCAAGCCAAGGCCCTCTATACGTACGTATAAGATGAGTGCGCTGTCTGTTCACCTAAAAATCGTAAAAATAGGCAGAAATTCTATAAACTGACACGCAAGCGATCGATTTTCCATGGGAGAGTTTTTTCTTCTAGTGATTGAAAAGCTATTAATGTTATCCAAAGAAGATCAGCAGAATATCTTCGAGATCATAATTACATTTCAATAGATATACAATTAAATGGATATCCTTTTATGGAACTCCAAATGAAACCCAAAAAAACAGGTATATCCAAGAAGAACACCGATTTAATCAATTGTACTTTATTCTTTATACTCTTTGTAACGCGTTAGTGGTGCAGAGCAAGGTTACACAGACACAAAAGAAAAGCCCTTCTTTATCGATCTGAGGTTTGTTTTCTAAATGTCCAACCTCCTTTTATCTTTCATTTTTACTTGTTTTTTTGTTTCCTCCTTGACTCAGGCACTCCGTTCGTGCCTTCCATGTGCGTGTATCCGTGATCGTGCGAATGTAAACGTACATCTTATGTAAATGTGTCATATCGTTTTAATGTGTCAAATTGGAAACAAATGGTAGAGTGAACGGTTCAGCGGAAGAGTGGAAGGAAAATTGTAACGATCCTAAAAAGTGTTTGCCAATACCTTTTAATTGCTGATGACTGCTCTTTTGCTGATGATGGTTGAATGGGAAAGGCCAATAGCTGGCTTACAGCAAACGCATACTATCGCGTTGACGCCGAACAAAGAAACAAGCGAAGTAATAAACCGTTATTTGTCTGTGACTCATCTGATCGTTAAGATCAGGGAGTATTTCTTGGCGAAGCGGCGAGGACTTAGAGCGCCGCAACAAAGCACTGAACGAAATGCGAAAGTGATATCAAATATTACACCATACTAGCGTCTTAATTTCAGATAAGTGCAGGACAAATAATTGAATAACTATATCAAATACATCTAGCGACGCAATAGTTATCCTCTTTTTAAGGTCTCGCTGGGGTGAGTTTTGTTGAATTGATCTAGGATTTCTCTGACAGACCTATAAAACTGCATGGTAATCATTACTAACACTGAACTTTGATTCAGCAATAAATGCACGCTCATGGCAACTGTGACAATGCACTTGAAAAGTTGCGCATTAGCTACCCAGGCTACGCCGCCCCATATTTTATTCCCTGTTAGAACAATTGAAATGTCGTTGATATAGGTAATCAAACGCACACACACGGATATACGGTAGTCAGGTAGGTGGTTATGAAGCTACAATATATTTGTACAATGCCACATATATGCCAAGTGAAACATATGATAATACGGAGTTATTTGATATTTTACTATATTTTCAGGGCACCGTAGAAGATCCTATACTACTAACATCTCGAAACGACCCACTGTCTGCCTTTTCTCGGCTTGAAAATCGCGAATGGCCCGACGCTCGACTAGTGGATGGCGACGCACCCAACAAGGGGCGTTTACAGGTGCGCTACAAGTCACGGTGGATGTCCGTTTGCACCAACTCGAAAAAGTAAGTCTTTTCGTAATTTATTCTAAACTATATATCGAACACGATCATCTCTAAAGGAATTTATAACTAAACGTAATTTCTGATACTTATTATATGATAATCTCTAAAACATGGAGGACAATTAAAAACGAAAAAAGAACTTACATTGGAAATACTAAGCAAATACGTAATTAATAATTATTGCAGTTTAGCTCTTATGTAGTCCCGAAATCATCATATTATATTAGACAGTTTAGAAGCTCATTTTGTCTTTGCTAGACTTCTGCCTATTGTATTGAATCGCTTGCTCTGCATAAGCTGCTGCACCAATGTCAATAGGTGTAATTTCACGGGTAACTAAGGGCAAAAAAGAGGTTATAAAACTCCTTTGGCTCATTCTTGATACTGACACCGCATAGAACTTATTTCCATCACTCTAACAATTGTATGTATATATTATAGTAGAACTAAATGTCTGATCTGCCAAGTAACTTGGTTAGCAACCTAAGTGCATGTGTATTTTTAATGATTAAACTTGAACGCTTGATTACTTGTAGGTAATAAATTAATATCGTTTCTCGACTTTCAGTTGGACATTAGATGACCTGTCGGTGGTCTGTCGTCACCTAGGATTTGGAGGTGGTGCTATTTATCGCTGGTTCGAAAAATACAATTATACGGAGCAGCTATCGCTTCAGAATCCCCGATGCACGGGTCAGGAACGCCGGTTAGAGGCCTGCGAAGGATGGGATTCTCGTCTTGTAGGAAGCGGAATCTGCGGTAAGTCTGTTCGTCTTAGTTCATGCTGGAATTTCGCATTCTACTCCATGATCGGAGAAAGCACAGTGATGCGACTTTGTGGAGTCTGCTATACTAATAATAACATACAACACAGACAAACGTCTTATCTGCTAATTACAGCTATAATCATTTATTCAAAACTAGAATTTCAAAGTTAGGGTGAATGAACAGCAAAACGTAGAAATGACTAAAGAGTATTTTGTGATACAGAATATCATCTGGACGTTGGCATACAATGTTCATTGAAACTTGGCCCAGACACTGCATCCCATTGGAAAGGATTAAACTTCGATCGGGCCCGAGCATCTCGGAGAAAGAGATACCAAAATCGAGTTGATAGGCTCATTTCTAAATCGGTGAGTTACTTTGTTCAATGTCCATAGACTTCTTGTGATCAGTCTACTAGAATTAATGCACGTAAATCATTTATATAGTTTCTAATCAAATTATCAATAAGGCATAGAACTATATTTTGAGCATTTGTTGCTCAACAAACTAATGTAGAATTTTTTTCCTGAGTACTGTGATTTTTATCATTATTTTTCGGCAACGATTCTACACTTTCGTTTCCTTATGTCGCTTCCAGGTTTTGAGCAATGTCGTAATACGTCACGCTGGCCGCGATCGGTTCGGTCAGGCAGTACCAAGCCTACACGTTCAACGTGGCAGTCCACCTGTTATGTCAGGAGTCATTGTTGAGGGTTCGGCTTACACTGCTGTGAACATTTCCAACCCAGACGATTCCTTTATTATTCAGGATGCAAAGCTTTTAAACAACCGAGGTATTTATTATAAATAATTATACAACCTAGTAAATTATTTTGCTTGTTTAAAATTTATTAGGTAAACGAGGCAAATACGTTAGTCGATAAATAACAATTATACCTCTTGAAATATGATCACATAAAACCACTTTGTAAATAAATTTTTCACGTTGAATTGCTTAGTGAAATTCAGAGAAATATTTCCATTGCACAATGTTGCATTATGGCAATTTTCATGTTTGTAAATATCCGTTCATAATCCTCTGCAAACCAGATTACTGACAAAATAAGAAAATTTATTGAAATGTGCAGCAGGCTAACAAGATGTCTAAAGCCATGCTTAACAGCAGTACTGAATGCAAAGCTTTTAATTTGGCTTATAAGAAGGTCAAGTAAATTGATTTGATGGCATGAAGCCTCCTGTGAAAATGTGACTAGATTATAAAGTTACAATGATCGTATTTCTACATTGTATCAGAATCATTGCATGTCGGTTCAGATTTAATTTACTTTAGTAAGAGAAAATAGAGACCGAATCAGATGCGCTAATGTATGGAATATTTTTCAATTTCAACGCCTTCATGTTTATGAGAAGGCTATCTGCGTAGCATCTTTTCTAACTGACATCATCGTTTTTAAATGACACGAGATTGATGCTATCATTATCGTCCCCATGCTCTTTTCGTTATTGATTATCTAAATGATACTGAAATGTAAAAATCACCCGACGGATACAAAAATCTGTATTTTCGTCTATGACTATTCGTACTTCGTTCCTTCTGTCTGTCTCTACAAAACGCCGAAACCCGTTTAACCCTGTTACGCTTACGAGAGAAAGCGTTCATATTTGACAAACGAACAGAAAAACCTCACTTAGATATTTTGCCAAATGCGATCAACAAAGAGTTGTAATAGTTATGGTATTAGCTATGTGCATATGCTGCCATTGCACCGTCAATACAGTTGAAATGAAAATTGGTGATGATGATGAAGCAACAAAGGTGTTCGCGTAAAAACTAGGTACACAGTCGCAGCACATGTTCTATCCGCTTACTATGAATGAGGAGGATAATGCTAATGACATTACCGTTATACTGATACTGTTATTTTTGTTGTTGATGCGGTGACTCTTGTTGTTAACTCAACCTGGCAGCTGCAAAGCAGCCCATGACAACTAAACAATGTAAAAACGGACTAGTTGAATTTGACCGCTATAGATAGATTTCAGCATGCCAATGGGACGGCGGTATGGTCTGGGTGGCTAACGTGCAACTCTTCGAGTGCGTTACCATGATAAGCATAACTGACAAGCTTGTTAGTTGTGCCACGATAGGTCAAACTTCAGCGTTGGTAAACATTTTTACCAGATATTAAGGATTAGGAAAACAAAGAATTAACGAAGATGAGGTATTTTAATTATATAGGTGAATTGTTGCTTATATCGTTGCCATATCGTTTCATAGATTAGATGTTTCATCGTTTCATGTTAGAGAAATCTGAGACAAGCCTAGCAAGATCCATTTTCATTAAGGTCCTAATAAACGCAAGTCCTTAATGCTGTACCTAAGAATAAATAAACCTGACGACTTATTCACATATGATGAATAACTTGTCATATTAAATAAAAAAAAAGCAAGCCAATGGAATGAAGCATCGATGACTTGTAAATCGATTTCCAGTGGTCTTAAGTATAAGCGCAGCGACTATATGCAGAATTGTTTTTCATTATTCAGTAATATAATTGAGGCGTGCTGTCTTGTCGGCTCAATTTTGGAGGTGTCCGGTTTTTTGCTAACTTTTGCTCTCATGGTAGACTGATTGAAATATATGCGTACCGTATGTCTTGGTCGGATCTGCTAAAATGACAGTTACCTCAAAAACGCCCTCAACATATATACTGAAGAAACAAATTATATAGTAAACTAGATATATACTAAACAAAAGTAAAATGTTGATGTAGGTAAATTAAATAAAATATGAAATGCTAGTAAGATAATTCGAACTAATAATTTTACCATTTTCTTTAGCTTGAAGTTAATTTGCTTTATCAGGCGGAGTGTCATGCGTTGCAGTATTCCATTTTGATTCATTTTCTTTCAATGTATTCTAGGACCGGGCCTGTTTATAAACTCAAGCCATCTTCAGATTCATTTACGTGGTTTGGTATCTGCATACAATGGAGCAGACGGAATTCATTATGTGCACCATGACTTTCCTGTGTTTTCATCAGAGAGTTTCTGCTCATCACCCATGGGCACCGTATTTCCTCTCAAGTTTGTACAGATCTCTACGGACGTTTCCCATGGATGCGAAAGGGTATGTACAGGAATTGTCTTCGTTCTCCTCTGCACTTTTACAATATATCTTAAAAATTAAAAACTTTTTATACATTTTTCCCTCGAATGCACTTAGATTATTAAAAAATGCCATTGAGTACCTAAACAATTGAATTAGTTGCTCAAACGCACACTTAACATTTATATCCAGGTTACGCAAAAACTAAATATGCAGACGATGGTAAAATGATTTGCTTTGCAGACAATTACAATACCTCAACATCAGAGGAATAAGAACGAGGAACTCACCTTGGTATTTAAAGATTTCCGTCGCATACCGCTTGATTGGGACGAAAAACTCAAAGATTATTATAACAGGTGAGCCGTAATGTTGTTTCCGAATATAAATCTCTCACTACACGCACACCAAGTTATTGTTCGTAAAAAATTTTCGAAAAACCTCCTAAAAGCTGAATCTACGGAATAACAGCTAAAGTGTTTTATTAATATTTCAGACAAAGCCCCGATGTAGTGGATCCAACGGTTAGCGTTTACGATGGTCCAAGACAATACGAAGAGTTCCTTTTGGGCACATTTGTAATTAACAATTACACTCGACCACAAACATTTTCTTCGAAACGGGGATACCAAGAATTAACCGTTAGTAAACCCGCATTTCTTCTTTTTTGATACAGACCAATGAATTAAAATGGCGTGATGAAGTTTTGCTGCGTAGAACTGCTAGCTTAACATCTTTACAAACGTTTCAAATAAGAAAAGTGATTGTCCATGAATTTGGACTCATTAGTATATATATACCATGCAAAACGGACTTCTTTGCAGGTGGTTCACCGCGCGGCATCGATGATTGCTGCAACATTCTCATTGGAAGTCTATCTTGAGCAAGGCAAAGTATTCGACATCAATTGTACGAACTGTGAACTCTCTAATAACAACGGGCGAGGAATTTTGGCGCGCGAAATCGTATCTGGTGTGGCTTTGAGGAAGTCCCGCGTAGCAGGGAACAATCATGTGGCCGGTGTACATGTACACGATGGCGCTGGAGATATCATCCTCAATATGACTACAGTGGAGAACAATATCGGTGACGGAATTAATGTAACGTACGCCGGAGGCTATCGCCATTTCGATCGATGCACTATACAGAACAACACAATGAATGGCATCATACTCAATACGAACCATACCAGTTTATACATTCCGTTCAATTATACTGTACACGTGAGCCGTTCATCATTAAGCCGTAATGGGTGGGCTGGCGTTTTTTTTGGTAATAGCTGCTTAGCTGACGCATTGTGGAACGTTTCAATGTCATCTTTTAGCAATAACGGAGATGCTGGAGTGTACTTTGAGTCTTGCCATCTGACCAAGTTTAACAGTTTCCTGTACATTACGCACAACAAGTTTTTTACATCAAAGTATCTGTCTATAAAAGTCAAACCGTTGTTGAATACATACGCGTTTGTCGAAAACAACGTATTCCAAGACCACCTAAATGGCGCTCTGCTTATCTCAAATCAAGACGTCAACTGGAGTTACGCAAACAGAAGAGCGTACGGAATTGTCAAAGAGAATTGGTTCCGGAATAATCGAGGCAGCTACGTGGCAAAGGTGGGTGTAATGCAGGAATCGAACGTACAGGAGCTCCTTTTCACTAACAACGTGCTTGAGCAGAATCGAGTTTCGGAACTCTTCCCAGCTTTGCGGCCCCGCAGCCGAGTGGCAGCTGTTGTAGCTGTTGAGTCAAACAATACTGCCATCTATCGAAACCGCATGTACAACCCAAATTCGAAATATGAGTTAGGTGTGCATCTTGAGGACAGCTCAAAGGTGATCAATGCGACCTACAATTATTGGAGCACACCTGGTAGGGACGAAGGTGAACGACACGCGAGACAGGTTTACGGCAGAATATTCGATCGAAAAGATCGTTACAACCTTGCTAGAGTCGAGTTTCTTCAATACTTAACAGCTCCGTACGATCTTAACACGAGAGACCACGTGTCATTAAGGTTTGATCGAAAGCGTGTGATGACGTTCGACACACAAGGAAACACACACGAAATCGGTGGGGAGATCGCTGGAGATTTCCAGATCGGACCGGGAGACTATACAGTTCGAAGGGATATCTACGTACGGAGCAACGCCAAACTCACAATCCACCCTCAAACAAAGCTCTACTTCGAGCAGTCCGTTGGCTTGATGGTTCAGGGAGAGCTTCGTGCAGTGGGCTCTAGCTTTGAGAAAATTCATTTCACAGCGTTTACTGACCCTTCAGCGCATGAGATTCCACCAAATGAAGACTTCCCACTTGGCTCACCGGTGATTCTTTCACAAGGGACTTATGGACGCGTTGAGGTGGTGGTTAATGGTCGTAGAGGCGGAATTTGCAATCACGGTTTCGGGGAACGTGAAGCTGCTGTTGTGTGTCATCAGCTAGGCTATATAATGGCAGATCGCGGGTGGCAACTCGAAGAAATAGATATGCCAGCGACAGCTATACCCGCTGTACTCTCCCATGTCCATTGTCGTGAAGAGGATCGTGACATATTTGCCTGTCGTGGCCGTGTGCTTGAGGATGTGTACGAGTCAAATGCTTGTACCCAGCTAGTTGGTATCCGATGTTTCAAAAGTTCGTGGTCAGGTATCCGCCTGGGCCCAGCAGCCAAGAGATCGGCAATTGAGTTTGCTGAGATATCTACAGCTGGCCAGCTTGACTACTCTACACATGCGTTCAAGCCAGCGCTTCAAATCGACATGAACAGTCATGACATCAAGAACGTTCGGGTTGACAATAACATGGCCTCGGGAATTGGAATAACGTGGAATAATATTTTCGCTCAAAAGGAAAACCCCTCTATTCAGTCGTGCACTATCGAGGGCAATAACCGTCATGGCATTGAGACGCGTGGTCAGGGGTTGGACATTTATAAGAACGTTATCCAGGTAGGTTTGAACTTATATTCTTGTGGCAACAGTAATGTTACTTCTTCACAGCACCATGTGCAATATATGTTTTGGGAGCTTATTTGTGCTGAAAAATTAGAGTCCGGTGCAAAAAGTACAACCAATACTGTGAGTCCTGACACTATGCGACTTCAACAGAGAATATCAAAATAATCTATATAGAATTTATTTATAAATGTTGAATTTTACCAACAGCTAACGAGGTTAAATAGAAAACTTAAAATACTAGTACAATTCGATATATATCTTTTAATCTGCTATCCTACAGAACAATGAAGGCGCTGGCGTCTTCTACAATCCTGTCCTAACTCGCGAAGAGCACCTTGAGATGCGACAATGGATCCCATCGTCATTGAGCGAAGTCCTACCACCAGCCGATCGCTCGCAACCAGTGTCGATTTCCTTAGAACCTGATCAGCCCAAGTTCCTTGTGCTCGGGACAACTCAACCTGGAGTGGACTTTGAGTTCGAAATTAAATGTAGAGACAGCATGTCCGTTGGACTCCTCGTTATTAGCCCCTTCCAACACGAGTCTACAGAGAACCTCAGCATCACGAAAGGACGCAGGTAGACATATAATGCAATATAAAGCACGCTGTAATTAATAGTATAAAATATGACACTTTTTTATTGGAAAGTAAAAATAACAACTCACAGAAATCGTTTCCAAAAAATCTTTGTTGTCCTATAATAGCCAACTGATATGTATAAGCAGCAAATAAATCTAAAAAGTGCTTTTAAGAAAATGACTTTTGTCAGATGGATATATTCGTCGTCATACTGTCTAAGCTCAACACCCAGTTATAAACTTTTAGGATTAAGTGAAACAGCCATAAATCTCGAATGCATACCAAACAAACTCCACGTGATTATATGGTATTTTTATCTCTTTTGTCCAAAGGGGGTCAAATCGTGGTGACCCTATGGAGACATGGGATCTCCGACGAAACCTAACATCATTTCCCCTTCGCGAAGCGGGCTATGTGGTCAGCGCCAAATACGAGAGTGGAGCCAGACCCATTGGCGGAGCAGTTATCTATCTTCAAGCGTCTTCTCCTCTAGGTGAGTGCCACAACAATAACACAATATCAGCCTCTGAAAGAATCATTCCCTCATCATCTGAATACTACCAAGGGTCTCGCATTGAATTTGCTCTAACTGATGCTACATTCGGTCTTTGATATGTCGTATATGTAAGAAAGGCCAGTTAATAAGGCCATTCACTTACGTTGGTGGCTAAATTTGAATTTAATAAAAATTTGTTCGTGAAGTCAGTATCAATATGCAAACGGCACTGTTTTATTATTTATGCGTATAAACCTATTTTGACATTACACTATGGTCTACGCTGCCTGATATGATAAACAGAAAATGAGAATTAGGCACACTGAACTAGCAAGCTCCTAAAGAGCACAAATATTCATAACCAAGTTTTTTGTCCTTAACCTTGGATCTTGTAATTGCTGGCTATTTATATTAATATAAGGTCTCACTGGAATATAGTCGCTTAGCATCCATCTGATAGCATACAATCTGAAGGTATTCTTTTGTTTGGTATATCTAACGCCATCGTTACTATTCTCCCACCCATGAACTTCCTGACACCGCGTGTGCGTGCGGTGTGATTATATAACGACGTGTATATGATGATACAATACGACGTATGATGGTGATGTTAACCGGTGTAGGCGTGTCTAAGAAGCGTGAAGATATTTTTGTCCCTGCGCGGCCTGCGGGCAGACAAAAACAGTTCCGAAAGCAACAACAGAAATCTCTATCTGTTAGGGCCAACTTGAACGCACATTGGAGCTCTAAGAGAGAGTCACCGATCGCTCCCACGGGACACTTGAACTCGATTCCTCAGTCCCTGGGATACAATCAATCTTATCGTGCAGGTAGACTAGGCTCGTGTCAGTTGTTTTAGAAAACGACTACTTTAAGATCATGGATGCTTGTGCACGATAACGCATGATCTACTGAAGTGAACAACGAAACGAATGAATGGACTAAATGCATGATGAAGGACACAAGGATAAGTGAGCCTCAAGAGCTAGCTATAACCGGTAGCCCAACTATTCTGATCGCATTCTTGATGTCCACTGTCATACTCCTCTATGCTGACTATCTATCTGTTAGAATCTCACATTCCTGTCGATACTATAGATTTGATCTACAATGATATCTCTGTTTCTGCAGAGCGAAGAAATACTAGTTGAACCTTGCTATGAACCTATATCTCCCATATATCCAGCAAACCTTATATATTTACATTTGCTCTCTGTATGGTCGCATGTATTGTAATTATTAGGACTTCCTGCAACTTCTCTATCTTAATTGTGTCCCTCCTGGACTGTTATGAAGATGATGACAATAACTCTCCCTTTGACAACATAATATATTATGTTGTCAAATTATTAATGTCAAAAATGTTAGTAGTTATTAAATTATAATTAATGTAACTGTAATTATATTAAAAAAATGTTACTAGCGTATTTCTTGAATTGATATCTTGCTTTAAAGCTGATATAGTCTGCTCTTTCTTGGTTGTCTCCAATAGGTGCTTGTCTGTCGGTGATGGACTTGCCTACTTAACGAAAGCTTAGGATACTCAAATTAAATAAGGCAAATTAACTATGATCCATACCAATAGAGCCAATGACGTTTTATGGACTGCATCTTTATAAAAAGGTACTACTACGTGGCGTGGTTGGCTTGAGTATGTTCCGTCCATTCGGCTGTTGTCAAACACGCTTGTCAATAACCTTCACGCATTCTGGAGTGCACATTTCAATCGCGACCAGGGTATCGACGGAGAGTTCTACAATCGATATTCAAACGAGAGCATCTACTTTTCGAATAACCTCGTGCGCGAATCAAGGAAACAAGCGATATACGTATCGACCCCACACTGGGACCCCCTCAGGTGAGTTTGTTCTGTAGTTAGTCCTGATCACAGAGAAAGTAGAAGTAGCGAGATGTACGCAACGCTCAGCGGGGGCAGTCCTGAGAAGCTAACTAGGTTTACCCTCTTTGTCTGAAATATGGTTGTTTATTATCATGACTTAATTATTTTGGCTTACCCGTTGAAATTACAGCTTTAAAGAATGGTCCTTGACTTTAACTCCGAAATCAGATTAATTACTACATCTGAATTTCTAATCGAGATGAGAATGTTGTCGTACGCTATTGCAGAAGCCTTTTTTGTTTTTCTTGGCAAGTACAGCAGCATGGATAGTACTAGTTCAATCCTTCGATTTGTCATGTTTAGGATTTATTTACTTTAATACATAATATACAGTATATATATAAATATATAAATAATACATTACATAATATATGCATATACAGATGGTATATGAAATCCTATTTTGTTTTGAAAATGGTTTTCCCAGAATCTAAAGAAAATCGACGTTTTTTGATTTAGATACTCCCCGTGGACGATCTGAATTAATTAATATAGAGAACATGTTTTTTTTTAGGCACCAGCTGGCAGAGATAAATTACACCCTTGTAGACAATCACCTAACTAAAAATCTAGGTGGAATCATATCGCAATATTCAAGGGATATTCGGTCCTCGAACAATCTCTACCACTGGACCCTGGTTAACTGTACGCTGGCTGATAATCAGGGCGGCGTACTTATCCGTTTACCGTACGTGCTTCACTATAATGAGAACTTCACCCACTCCGTCGTTTTCGATGGAAACAGCTACCGTGATAACAGGTAAGAAAGGAATAACGGAATTATGTTCAATGTTAGCAGCTTAGTACTTATTTAGTTAGCCGGTTGATCCATATACCACTTAGTAATTAATCGTTCTTTGAACAGATATCTTTATTTATCATTCTGTTAAAACCCTGTAGAATTTCAGTAAATACGCTAAATATTAATACTACTGAATGTGTATATTTTTAGCTGAATGTATTAAACTTGAATCTCGCTTGTTGAATTTCCGTAGGTGTGGTATACAGGTGGATGGTCATTTTGCCCGTGTAAACATCACACGCAACCAGCTGATGGGTAATCAGTGCCCTAAAGGCGTTCTTACAATAGGTGGTATGGAAAAGGAGTTTCTAGTGGCCTACAACGTCATTGAGAGAAACATCGCTAGATACGCCGTTGAGATATTTATTAACAGCCATTCTGAGCAGTTTAGTCAGGTAATAAAACCTTTTTTCCCAATTTCTTTTATCTGTACAGGATATAAGTACATTACGATTTTATCTCATCGTCACCATAAATAATTTGCAATCAGTCCTCTTGTAATTAACGTTTTGTAGTTATTGATGATTGAAGTCTATGTAGATCTACCTAACCTCTCAATTTTGTGCCACATTCTTAATACACCCTATCTATACATAAGTAATTATATGCCATATATTCAAAATAAACGAAGATTCAGATAATAAAGCATATCGGAAGATAAAAAAATAACTAAGAGAAAAAATGTTTAATAAACAAAATATAATGGAATAAAGCGGGCTTTAGACAGTGGTGCGGTTCATTAACCAAATTTACTACGCTATCATGTATGCAGGTTTCAGCGAACTTTATAGCAAATATTATTCGTGACACCGCCCCATTCTCATTGGGCAAATATGCAATCCACACCGATGGTGTCGTATACCAGCCGAAAAGCTACACACTAGCGATTAAGGGTGTTCAGCTTTTCAACGTTTCACGAAATTTGTTTGAAAATTCCCTCATGGAATTCGAATTGGTTGCTGGAGTAAAAGCGTCATCTCTCAGCAACGTCCTTAATGCTCGTGAAAACTTCTGGGGAAAAACGAGCATCGAAGAGATTCGATCGAGGATTTTTGATTTTGATGACTGGAACAGCTACGCTATTGCTGATTTCGTACCCTTCTTAGGTGAGAGAACCATTTGCCTAAAACATCCGCTCTATATGATCGCACGTATGCAGAAGCGGGGCATCAAATGGAGCATAAGTATTGTACAATGTCGATGTACAAACATTTCGCCGCAGCTGGCAGTAGGTTAGGAAATCGAAACTTTAATTAATTAACCCTATTCGTTTTCGTGAACTAAATAATTCTGTTTTTCCTGTAACCTGTGATTATGTTTGTCGAACGGCTGCTACCGATTATAGCCGTCTTAGAGGCTCGAAGTAATAATTTAACTTTTATTGACGCTTTCTAGGCGCGGCCGATATGAACGCTGTCATGCTTCACGAGGACTTAAGCCGCGCTCCTGTAGATGTTAGTCATCCTCTTGGGGGAAGGCTCTACACTAACCTTACGCTAATACAACGAACTCGCCCTTACGTAATAAAAAGCGATTTGACGGTGATGCCCGGAGCTACTCTGATTTTGATGGACGGAGTCACTGTTGAGGTATGATTAAAATGTACGAATATCTACAGGGCTCCAATGGTAATAATATACTTTAGATAATTACGAATCGTTCAAGCATTTTTTTTTCATTTTTAATAAACTAGCGGCCATAACTCAATTGGGTCAAAATTATTTTTTGCAATTGATGATATAAGGTGTTTTTATGGGTCTTTTTTGTAGGTCTACCCTAGTGTGGGTATCCTTGTACTTGGCGATCTAATAGTGATGGGTCGCGAGCAGAATCCTGTGTACTTCCAGCCAGCCCGAAACCTTCAGTCAGCTCGACCCGTGCGTAAAAGGCAAAGTAACCTTCGCGATACGTCAGATCTTGCCGTACGGCTTTGCGTTGACCAAACTTGCGACGACAATCAAAGAATTGACGGATTTGTGGAGATTTTCAATAAGACTACCCTTCAATGGGTACCCGTCTGCGACCCCCGTTTTACAGAACGGAACGCTCAAGTCGTCTGTTCAGCAATCGGCCGTAATCAAGTAAACGTACAACTGCATCGTGCACCTCGTTTCGACGTCGGCATTAACGAAATGTCTCGAGTACGCTCTTGGACACATCCTCTCGAATGTACCGGTGAGGAGACCGATCTTCGAGACTGTGAGTACCGTTTAAACGGTTATGGCATAAAAGACTACTCGTGCACGCATCAAGGCGAAGACTTTGTCTATGTCTATTGCGGAGAGGAAAACAGACAACCCGACGAGGAATATTGGGGCGGGATTCGCTTCTCTGTTCCAGACAGCCTTGCCGAATCTCAGCGTGGGACTCAAGATCACCTTGCGAGATTTGCTCAAGCCTCGTCCGCAATTCGATTCGCCGTTATTCGCGGTGCTGGAATTCTTCATAACGAGAAGGCAGCTGCAGTTCAAGTTGTACAGCGACGAGTAGCTCTAGAATTATGCAATATTACTCAAAATGCTCATGTCGGCTTAGAAGTCGTAGCGTCTCCAGGATTTCAGTTTGTACATGGAGTGAATTTCACGGACAATCTTGGCTCTGGACTAAATGTACTTACTTTGCATGGTCAGACTAATACGCGAGATTCAAACTTCGTACCCTTAAAGATTATAGACATACCTTACAATCTATTTGGCTTAGTTGACATTTGCGACAGTAATAAGGAGTTCGTCCTAAAGGGCCGTATTCTCGTATACTTCAAATACGACTCTGCAGCGGTGGATTGTATCAAGATCTTCAAAACGGATGTCGAGTCGATAGGTTTTCGCCTGCTTCAGTTTAATTTGTTTAATGCCACTAACTATTCTCCAAATCCGGATAACATCAAATTGTATGACGGTAACATTTTCAACTACACTTCACCTGTCCTGGGAATCCTTTTACCGAACGATGATCAACGAGCTTTTTACGAGACCCGACTTGGTAGCACACTGAGCGTCCACCTCCATGCCACTGGGGGTAGTGAACAAAATGGCTTTATTGCCGAGGTTCTTCCACTGCCCGCTAGGCCATTAGCAGGCCGCGACATCAAGCATAACGTGACCGCTTGCCATTTCTTTAACAATGAAGGGGGAGCTATTGCTTATCGTTCTGCCGGAGAGATTACTCCTATCATTGGTATTCGCTATAACCGTGTCGAGCGTAACGGTTTGCAACTGTTCGGAAACTTAAGCTCGGTTCCAGCAGCGATATTTCTTGATGTGCAGAATGTTCTTCACCTTGACGTGATCGGTAACACGATTCTGGAAAACCAGGGAGGCTTATACGCCAAAGTAGACTCGGATGACTCAGTGTCAGCGGTAAAAGCTCTTATTCGTAATAATCTCTTCTATAGGAATGAACATCGTGAAACACTAGCTTTCGTGGGTGGTAAAGCAGGTTCACTTCAGCATGTTCACGTTTTTAAGAACTACGTGTCGAAGAATCACGCTGATCACCACGATAATATCCTGTTCCATCGGGTGTCAATGAATTTCTCTGAAAACCTCGTTGTAGGAAACCGGGGTGCTCATCAAATTGCCGTTTATGGGTTTCGAAAACAGCTCTCCAGTGACCAGCTTCTATATATGAACTACATCTGGGATAATGAGGCCACCCTGCCAGAAGAAAAGGCCACGATATTAGCTGTGTCACCGGGGCAAATATATCGTTATAACTACCTCTACAATCGTAACAACTACTTCGAGCTCGTTACTGGCAACAGATCGCTGTACGTTAAGGTCTTTTAATTAAGTATGCGACGGAATGGCTGTATTCATAATACTGAAATTGCATAACTCAGTTCATGATAAAAGATGTCGACTAGCTTGTCAATTGTTTTAATCATCGGAATGTTCTATTTATCCTCTATATATTTTTTCTATTTATTTAAATATTTGCAGCACTATTCATTCAGTTATTCGCATTGCGTGTAAATGTTCATTAGGAAGTAGGTATTGTAGGTTTAATCAAATTTTAAGGTTTATTAAGCTTTAGGATGACAGAGAATGCAAGCATACGAGAAAGCCTTTGCGCGAGTTTTGTTCGCAATTGCACTATTCAAGAAATATTTTTAATTAAAAAAAAAACAATGAAAATATATAAATATGCATTTGATTTATATTTACAGGAGCATTGACCAAGAAAGCCGAGACTATATCTACCAAAATCAACCAATATACAATGTCCGCCGTGATCCAATCTTCGTGGAAGCGTCTTTTAACTGGTGGGGTTTCAACGAAGTCGTTCCTGTTTCCGGAAGAATTAAGGTAACAAAAAAAGCAGTTACTGAATCATTCATTACGATATCAACGGTATATGAAGGGCTTGAGCATGAGCATAAACATTTCAATTGTTAAGGTCCTACTCAAAACCACACACTTTTATTTTTTAACACGCAAAAATAATGCGGACTAAATTTGATGTGACCATCAATAGCGGTGGACAGCAGGTTCAGCGGCTATTTTTTCGATTAGTAGAGGTGTTCTTATTATGACTAATCCGCACTCCTAGTTCTAGAGTAGAAATTAAGGAGCATCTGTATTAAGGTCTGTGAGTGAGAATTGCGAGAAAATGTTCTATGAACGGTATATATTTTATTAACAGTTTTTTTTTTGTTTTACGGAAACACACATTGTTACCAGGACTCACTGGATGAGGCAGATTTGCTGAAAGTGCATTTTGAAACATTGCTGGATTCTAATCAAACTCTCATCGATGGCCACTGCGTTGGTGGATGGAAAAATATTGGAACCACATGTTTCCTCTTTGTTACGGCTCTGATGAACTATTATGAAGCGAAGCGATTCTGCCAAGTAATACTTGTTTCGGTTTTATACTACTTTTATATGAATGCAGGTTATAAATTTACTTTTTAAACATATATATCTTGATTTGAGTATAATATGACTTAGCACTTTTTCGTGTATAGGCAAAAGTAACCGCATTAAATAATAGAATAAAAAAAAAAGTTAAAAATGGAGCAATATTTATCTAATGCTTGTCTTTATTTGATCTTATAATATAACTTCCTTCCGATCTTTTAGTCGGACGCTGCATCTCTGCCGTATCTAAAAGGTCGATATGAAATCATCGAAAACTACATTCTTCAAACGCAAGAAGACTACGATCCTGACTATGACCGAGTATGGGTTCAGAGCATTGATGTTCCTTTGGACGAGTGCCCCGTTCTATACAAAAGAACCATCGTCTCACATGACTGCCAAGAAAGGTTACCCATCCTATGCGAAAGAAGTAAGTACACTCATTTTCTTTTTGTGGTGATAATCTCAATAACCCGAACATTGATATTCATAGAACATTCTAAAAAGGAAAATCTACACATTAAGCAAACTATTTCAATAATTTTGTTTTAAGAGAACCAGCTTTGTTGCCTTAATCTATGCTACGTAGATTTCTAGTAGTTTCGGTTACTTTTTTGGTAGAATGAAAATCTTGACATGTCAAATCTTGTTTTGAATAGCTCCAGTAGAATGGTATAGGGTTAACGCTGACCTCTTCAAATTGATGCGATAGTTATACTTGTGTATGTGCTAATAAGGATTTTTACTTGGGTACTTTGATTTGACTGATTTGAAGTCGTTAAATATATGCCTTAATGTTTAGTTAATGACCCAGTAACTTTGCTCACATCCCGGTGAACAGCTCAGGAAATATTTGTTTCGCTGGGAGACCAGTGGTATGTGGACCCGCTGTCTATTGGAGCTTTATCCGTATTGGTCTTGTTGATTGTATGCATTGGGCTGTTCTCGATGTTTTGGTGCTGTAAAAGCCATGAACGACATCTTGAGAAAATGGAACGTCGCAATTCAATCCGAGCCTCAATCAGATCGAATAAAGGATTCGATTATCAGGTTAGCTAAAGAGAATTAGCTAGGTATAACGAAAAAGCAAAGCCTATCTAATCTAGTGCGAAAAAATTTTAATTTTTTAAGCAGTTTTTAAGCAAAATGCTTCAGTGTTACCTTCTGTGTTTATCACAATACTGCCATATAATTGGTTTGCGAATGGTAAATACTTATAACTATAGCCACAAAAAAATAATTGAATATTGCGTCAATGATCATAACGATAATTATATTTGCTTATCAGGACTACAAAGCCCGCATAGGCGCAAAGTCGCCAGTATATTCACAAGGTTCATTAGACTCTGTGACAAAGTTGCCCTTCAGCGCTAGCAGATCACAACAGACTCTGGATTATTCGGATCCTGATGAGCTCGACGATCGTTTTGCACATGACCCAGCTCTAGAAAACGCTAATATAGATGTGCTCGTCAAACCTACATTTGACATGACCTACGAAAATCAAGGGTAGGGCTTCGGCGTACTTAGGTCGTTTCTATTTTCACTAAAAGATTTGAGAGCAGTATAAGGGCAGTTTCAAAAGTTGAAATGAAAAAACTAATCTATTCCGTAACATGACTCTAATATTTGATACTTGAGAATCATGTTTTACGTCCAATTGATACCGGCAAATCGGTTCCGTTCACTGGTTAAGTACATAGCCAATGAAGTAATCGCGAGTCCTATGTTTAGCTTCTTAAACTTTTAAAGTTAAGTATTTCTTATTTAATCTATAAAAGTAAAGTTAAAAAAAAGTCCGTTGCTATGTTCACCAATGTCAGCATTATTATTAAGAATTTCCTAACAGAATACATATTTTACGGAAACTTGCAGCTATCACGACCAATCACGTGATAGTCGCGATTGGTCTCAAGGGACAGGCTCCACGCTCGACATGAAGAGAGAAATTGACGCTGAGAGGCCGCGAACGGGTGAACGTCAGCGAATCCGCGACTTGAATTCGTTTAATTCAGCAACGTCTGCCCAACGCGACAACAACATACCCGCTTATGAACTGAAGGCCACCTCTTTGCACAGTTAGTATTAAACTTTCCTATCATACACCGAAAAGAAAGTGCACTTTTGTAAAAATCTGGGCAAAGTGCAGCGCAGCTATCGAACTACGTTACCACTACTGCTACTATATACCTAACTAAATGCACCTTTGACACGTTTCTCGGGTTAAATCTAGACGTTAGATGAAGCAGTCTTTTTTGAGGTGTTGAAGTTGGTGAAAAGAGTGAAATGTCGCTAAGGTCTGCGCATGTTTTGAGTGATAGCAGTGCCGTACTTTTGGCCTAGATTGTGAGTGAAATCCGAATTGAGGTTTGTGTAATATGTCCGTCACGATAAGCCGCGGCCTTGAATTCGTAGCCTATTTTTCTGTGTTCTCATTGACTATAATATTTAATTAACTTACATCATACCTACTACATCGTAGAACCTATAGCTAATGGCGGCTTGCAAGCTGGTGTCTACGACTCGACGCAAAAGCTTCCTCCGGCGCCACCAACTCCGCCCATCGAGGAAATAAGTACCCTACCCCTGCATGGTGCAACTTGTCTACGTAAGTGAATTAATATAATGTGTATAAACATCGGTACATTAGTAGTCTTAAAATTACCTACATTTTTACTTAGGCATGGTTGAACTTGAAGTGTCGAATAGTACTCCCATAGATTAAACCTAAGTACCACAGAACTACATTTATACATTTTTAGTTTGTTCAGTAACGACACATCTAACTTGATTTATCTAAAATACTGTAGATCCAACGCCATCTCGTACGGCACCACCTCGACCTACTGCTCGTCCTCCTCAGCCACCAGCGCCACCCTATGAAAATGCTCCCGCTGCCGCACTCAATGGAGGACATACGTCTCATATTCGCTTCAGGCAAGCACCCTTTGCTCCTGAAGGACATCTCTACCAGCAGCCATCGCGACCTGATCAGCCGATACCGCAGGACACGGGTGTTCCCGTTCGAGATCCAGGCCATCAACAGCTGTCTCGAAGTCTGGAGCCGCTCCGGGATGAGTCTGATGCGCCTGCGGGAGGACGACTACCTTCAAGAAGCTTGAATGCCTCGTCTGGTTCGCTTAAACCTGCTCCGCTGGAGACTGCCATGTAAACTCTTGAGACACACCGTTACCTATGGGCAAAAAAGTGTTTGTTTTTAGTGCAATTAGGGTTTTGCGAATTCAAGGAACATATTAGACAAATCATTGTCTAGCTAAATTACATCGTTCTTGCAACTATATCAGAATAGTTCGATAAATAAGTTTTCATATCATCCAAATTATTCCAACATATCCTGTCGTAATTTAAAACTTCATTGCCTGCATGACTTGCATAAAACTGATGTGTAGACTAACTTTTTTTCATCTAATTTAGACAACTAATTTAAAGTGTCCCTCGACGCTTATTGTTGCCAGCCGGTGCCAAATGAATACTATAAATATATTCTAGTGCCTTTTATTTCAAATTCAGGCGAACATAAACCAGGCCTACGTTTCCATCACAAGGAATGTAAATAATATAAATATAAGTAATAGAGGACTCCTTTTTTCTGCATAGTTTTCAATTATATTTATACAAATTGCTATTTATATTATATATTGCCGATCAGATGGTAGTTTGTTCTCAGAAACTTGAAAAAGGACCAACGAACACATACTGTAATTATATAATTATATATATATTAAAAAAAATGGACATTGTTATTGACCTGTCAAACTAAGCGATATACGGGGCTAGTTATCCATGCTGGACTTCATTTGAGTGACTCAGCTATTGTTGTTCCTTTGTTTTAAAGAGACAGAATTAATTCATATTGAATAAACAAAGCATAGGGCTGTGTCTCTAGCCGTTGACGCCTCCTTCCCACTCAAATAAAATGACTAGTCACAGACTGGACGGGAGGGGAGGAGGGGGGGGGGGGTAGCGTGCGAGAGACAAGCCAGAAAGTGTCACAGTTTTTTAAACTAAAATTGTATATTCTATTTACATGCTTGTTTTTATCACAACCACGATACTAATACCACTGCTCCCGTTTTCTTATAAATGTTGAAAGGTAACTTTAGCGTAGTGCCACCTTATCATAGGAAATTCGATAAAGCGCTTAAAAAATAATAAGCAACGCAACTATCATTTCACAGCTTAGTATACGAAAATCATCGCGGCACTGCTAACATATATAAAATTAAATGATTTTGTTCGTTTGCCTCAGTTTTTTCTAGAACACGATAAGTATGCAACAAGGCACTACTAGAAAGTATATTTTAGATAGAAATTACACACTGTGTTTGTATATCTGTACATTGACTAGCTGCGCAAATCCGCGTGATTAAGTCGTAGAATAAATAATAGGAAATAGACCGTTAATGAATCAATGAAAAGCAGCGTCCAAGCAAGCACAATTTTTCGGGTGCCGTTGTATCTTCGGCCCCTACGTTTCTTTTTCTTTTTTTTTTTTTATCTAAGTATGAATGGTGATTCGTTACGGCAGTGGAGTATTGTGGTGTAATGAATGGTTAAACGTAACGTCCTAGAATTCATTGGGATTCTAATAATAATTCAATTATAATAATATGTTTTGAAGGTAGGCTGGATATAAGCGACCAAGTGACCGGAAACGAATGGCATTTGAAACAATGTATGCGTGAAGTTTAGTACGATATCTGTAACAGTGTGTATTTGCATAAAAGGGTGCTGATCAACAGCAGCTAAGGAACAAATTGTATGTTGAAGTGCACGTTATGGTCAAACCATCAAAATATAATATGACGTTGTAATGGCTTGTATGAGGTGGTATACTGCGGTGCAGTTCTACCCCTTTGTGTGTCATTAATGAAAAGCAACAAGCTAGGGAGGACAAAGACAACATATGTACTATAATTAATTATGATATTACAAATGATAGTTACAATAGTACTGGTAATCTGAACGCAGCGGGTCAGATCCAGCGGCCTCTTCTTTTGGTTTAGGGGTAAATCGATGCCGTGATTTAAGTACGCTTTACATTCACACTGAGAATCTTGAAGAAGAAGAAGAACGGTGAAATAGCTTTGGTGAATTAGTAAAAAACGGTTGGCAGATTACCTATATAACTAGGTTGTGTCCTATGCGTGTGAATAAGACAGTGGCGCGATACAAATGTTATCATAACGAATGAGTCCACGCTAAGTATATTTATACGAAAAAAAAAGAATGAACCTGTACATTAAACTTGTATATTGTATAACTATAGCGTGTATTCATTGTTAATAATAGATAGATAATTTATGGTTACACACAGTAACGGTCAGCTCATCGGACTGCTTAGTGCCAGTGATAACGGAATTTTTACAACCCTATAAGCTTAATTATCTATAATAGCAAGAAGTATTAATACTCTGCGAACTAATCTTGGTCAGATTAAGGGTGATTATACAATCCATTTATGATGTGGTGAAAGATATTTGTAGTTACGATGAATCTGGTTATGAAAATTTATGAGACTAAAATGATAACACTATCATAGTTAACAATTTATTGGTGAAGATTCATTTATGAATATAGACATGATGTACTAATTGCATTTCGCAACGCTATATTCTTCTTTTTCAATCTAAGCTCAAGAGAAGCCGTATTTAACAACGCTTATCTTTAACGAGACCTTTTAACAACGAAGCACTTCTTTGGACAAGGCAGACAAAATTCTTTGAAATTTGGTTTTGCTGGTTTTTTTTTCAGGTTGACAAGAAAGAGCTTGTTTTGTATTATTAAAAACCAAACGATTTTGTAAGCCAAATCGTCCACCGACCACGACGATTTAGCTCGTTGGGTGGATTAGATGCATGCAAAACGTAAGAAACCGAACATAAAAATAGTAACAAACATCGCTGAGGAAGAACCCAGATTTTCCCCAGAATTCACGGAAAGGGCACGAACAGTGGTATTCCTCTGGGCATACCCGTTACGAGTTGTGTAAGACTTTTCATCTATGGCTTTGAATCCGAGACACTGATCCATTACGGTGATAAGAGGTGTTACGTCTTTAAGCGAAATACCTGTAACATGTTTGGAAAATAGAAGACAAAAGCTCATAAAAACATGACTTTGTCACTAGTCGGCCTAAATCATTTCTGCTGTAGCATGTTTTATATAATATCGATTGTTTGAAAGTTTATGGATAAAAGATAAGCATATATATATACACCTGACTTTCTTTCTAATCTGACGTTGCTACAACACTGAATTCCATTTTTACTTTTTTAACTTTCCTGCAAGCGTTTCCGGTGCTAAACATGTAGAGTTAAAGAACTTGTCCAATTTGTGATATCCGCTATCCTGGTAAAGCCATAGCAAATTGCAATCACAAGAGAACTGATTGTTTTCTATGACGAATGCTGGTTCCACCACCTTAAACAAGAAGAAAAAAGCGTCTGCTAAAACTACTATAGGGTAATTGCATGATGGCAATTGGATAGATTGGACCTAAGCTAGATCTTAAGCTAGGTCCTCTATATTAACAAAGCATTTATTGCATTACACTGGTAACACATGAAGCCATTTGGTAAGCTTTATATAAAGCTTCCTTGTGCCTTCATTAAAACTTTTGACATCGCAATCTATCATGCGTTAAGATATAGGATAGGTTTAGTGAAAATAGGCTTGAATAAAAACATCAGTTTACTACGACATTCTAGTGGAAATTTGGGAGCAATAGGATTTATGGAAAACTGTAATGAAATAATTGTTACTGCGCCTTATCAATAGTTAGGTTAGATGTCGGGAACCATCGGCATTACAGCACCAGAGTAACAGGGTCACTGAAGCAGAATAAGAGGTTGACTGCAATAACCTAAAATAATGTTTTAATTGATTTAAATCTGATTCTGACAAAAGAACCGCAATGGAAGTGGGATCTTAGAAGGATATTAACCGTTGGGAATTTTTAACTAAAATAGGATTACGCAATCAGGACTACAAGGTAAGTATAATAAAATAACGGACTAGTGTAGCAGACCTTACTGCATTTTTTTTTTTTTTTTAGCAATCTTATCAATCGCCGCATATTTTTTAAAAAGGATTATAGGTATTCTTATTTTCTTTTCTTCTTATTTTAAATTAATAGAAATAAAAAGTAATAATTTAAGTACAAATTTGGTTGACTAGCCGTAGGCCTGACTATGTCTATCTTCAACTAAATATTAAAGGAGACATTGAAAGGTGTTGTCCTGATAATAAATATTTAGAAAGCTGAAGTTGACGTGTGTTTTTGTGGCTTAATTAGGTAAAAGTACCTCCAGGTAAAGTAAAATTCCATTTGGCTCGACGTGTAGAAACCAATTTTCTGACATTGTAAGCTTGACAACGTTTTGCATGTGGTAGAACGCCTGTAATCCATTTAATTGAATAAAAAGTCTATACTTTAATGTAGATAGCTAGCAAAACTTTCAAACATTGTTATAGAGAATTTATATTCAACTCATTATTATGACTGAGCTTTTTGTAACTCTTTGCAATGTACAATATAAAATGTTGAAAATCTCTTGGTACATCAAATTATGAGTAGGTGTCACGTTGACACGAATTAATAATTTATTTTCTTTTACTACGGTAAGTCGTGCTTACATTGGATCCCACGCGACTAAAGACGTTTCGGACGATTATCATTTCTCCGACGCTGTCGGCGAGAAAGCTTCCTTCATTGAGCCTTTCTATAGAGGTGCCACTCAAGACCACCTATGTTCATACACACGTCATTGTATAAACATTGAGGAACTAATGTTATTAAGATTATGTAGAGGGACGACAATATTTACATGTTTTTAAACTTATTTTTGACTCCGCTAAATTTGTGCCTTGACTCCTTATGCAAAACAATTCGAAAAGATCGGGCGAACGCGAACGAACCTATACCACATCAAATCGTTCGAGTCTCACCTTAGAGATTATACCGTAGCTCTGTTATCGTCAGTCTTTTCTAGGTTCTGAAGTTTTAAATTATGCATTTTATACATTTACTAACCTTTCCGACATGCATGAGATTTATTGCGTCTTCATCCAGCGATGAAACTGAAATCAATATATCAGCATTAGACAACATCATCGCTTTATCGAACATTCTACAGATGAAGGCATACAAACGAAAATATAATACAGTGTCTGTCGCCTATAGTTAAATGTAACGCAATTTTCATAGCCTTAGGGCTTAAGCCTTTCAACTGGAAATATTTAATGCTTATATTAGTCCCAGTTCTCATGCTGAAGGACAAGTGAGTGATCTTGATTCGTTGAGTTGGTTAATTCTTACACAACAAAACAGTCCACCCCTTTGAACTTTGCGGAACTCTTACGGGAGGACCCGCGCAACAACGCTCAAACGCAAAAGCAGATGATGTTGCCTAGTTTTTACTTCAACCGATTAGAGGTTTTTCGATTTTTCAGCTGAATATAATGTGAAGTGATACCGCTCTACCGCGAAATGCCCATAGCAGCAGGTCTAATAAAACGTACTTATAATTATAACTAATGCATATTTTACTATTATGCAATTTTAAATACAAGCACCTTCGTCAGCATTAACGAATCCTTGTGCGTGCACGTAAAGGTTCCCCTATTATAACTATCTATTCTGTTTTATCAAGAAGTTCCCACAAATTATGTAGATTGCTCTACGGTTGCAGATTAAAATAAATGCATTGATATATGGTTTTCCGCCCCTTACTCGGGTACTAAATTAATCATGAAAGTCTGACTTACTATGGCAGTTTCGAATTGTAAAGGTCTGTACTTGATCAATACAAGTCGAGTTTTTTTCCATATGATCTGTAATTCACAAGGCAGCGTGAACTAAAAGATTAGTTGAAGAAATTAACACTATTCAGTAACACTAACTTAAATTGCAGTTTAATAACGGTAAGCATACCCCTAAAAGTTCATACTGTTCAAAATAACCGCATTTCTTCTCAATGTAAAATAAGAACACCGACGGAGATAATTAACATTATCGCCGCCTTCAGGATCATAGTTACCGCGAAAGCAATCTAACACAGTTTAATAGGTCAGTTTTATTATAGGTTATAACAAATTTTTCTGGTTATAAAAATATACGAACAAAACAAAAAAAAACGACTGACCCATTGATGTGTCGATGATATCAACTAGACTTTCATGTTGGAAATGGAGAGCTCCAGTCCTAATTACGCCAATGTGAGAGTCAGTAATACGGACCTCCTTTAATTCGGCAATGCCTGGAACGACAATATATATATATATATATATATAGAAGAATGTGATCGTCAAGCCCAACATTAATGACAGTAGATCTTGTTAAAAAAAAACTTTGCACACGTTTGTTTCTAAAAGGGCTTTGAGTTGACTAAGTCATCGTAAAAGCATGGATTAAAGCAGCTGACAGTTTATACTATTAAGAGCCGCAAATTCGAGTGTTGCGCTACAGAGCTAAGAAGTACAGACCAAGGCTCTGAAGTTAAGCCATCTAGAATCATATGCTGAAACCAAAACGTATGTTAGAGCTTAATGCTCTTTAATATAAGTATTATCTTTCAAAATCGGCGAACTAATTCCAGGTCATTTTAGTATAAAACAATGCCTTTTGAAATATTTATTCTATTAAATAATTAATCAAAAATTGTCTGCATTACTAGGTTGTACACTTTAGGGTTTTGACATCAATAGGCTTTTGTTGAAGTGATTCAATAACTTCGCTTCTTTTTTACAGAGTTATACAAATGAATAGTTATCAAAGCAGATAATATGCCCAGAAATGATTATACCCGGAAGTGAAACGACTTAAGACAATGTAACATCCATATATTATAAGAAAATTCTTATCGTATCCTATTTTCCTTTTACAGATGTTGATGATTAGGATAAAGTCATGCAAAAAGTAACATTAGATAAAAAGGCACTAGGAAAGTTGAAGTTGCGCATTCTGAATAGTTCAGAGCTGAAAGGAAAAAAAAAAGAAAAAATGTGTGACAGTTATTTGGCTGCCAATTTGATGGCTCCGATACGAAATCACGACAAGCTCATTTAGCGCATGTTACGACAGATAGGGGACTGATGAAAGAGGAATGTTAATCGGCTTTAGCTAAACCGCGAATGCTATTGCAGGCTCGACTTAGATATA